CTCCTATAGCATAATCACTTGCGTCACACATGAGCTCGAACGGCTGCTCCCAGTTGGGTGCAACGATAATTGGTGCAGTCACCAGTCTCTTCTTCAGCTCCTCAAATGCCAACCTGAAATCATCAGATAATACAAAGGGATGATCCTTTTCAAGGAGTTTACATAAGGGGTTAGCAATTTTAGATAAATATTTTATAAATCGCCTGTAGAATCCGGCGTGCCCAAGCAAACTTCTCACTGCTTTGACCGAAGTGAATGGTGGCAACTTCTCAATCACGTCAACCTTAGCATGGTCAACCTCAATGCCTTTACTGGACACTCGATGCCCCAACACTATACCTTCTTGTACCATAAAATGGCACTTCTCCCAGTTCAGCATTAAATTTGTCTCCACACACTTTTTTAACACTCTTCTTAAATTGTGAAGACAGTCTTCGAATGAATCCCCCACCACTAAGAAATTATCCATAAAGACTTCCATAATATCCTCCACCATATCAGTGAAAATGTCTAACATACACCTCTAAAATGTAGTCGGTGCATTGCACAGGCCAAACGACATTCTCCGAAAGAAAAAAATGCCATACGTACAAGTAAAGGATGTTTTCTCTCTATATTCAAGGGCTATTGAGATCTGATTGTACCCCGAATATCCATCCAAAAAGTAGAAATGAGACTGCCCAGCCAACCTATCCAACATTTGATCAATGAATGGCAAGGGGAAATGATCTTTCTGGGTGGCTGAGTTCAGTTTTCTATAATCCATGCAAATTCTCCAACCCGTGATTGTACGAGTCGAGATCAACTCGTTATTCTCATTTTTCACGACCGTCATTCCGCCCTTCTTTGGCACACACAGAACTGGGCTAACCCAGTTACTGTCAGAGATGGGGGGGAAATGATACCCGCATCTAACCACTTGATCACTTCTTTCTTCACCACTTCTTTCATGTTCGGGTTCAGCCTTCTTTGATGTTTTCTTGAAGGTTTGTGCCCTTATTCCAAGAGAATCTTGTGCATGCAAAAGGCCGGGTTGATACCTTTTATATCTGCCATGGTCCAACCAATAGCAGTCTTACATTCCTGTAACACCTGTAGGAATAATTCTACCTGCACAGCTAACAAACCGGATGAGATAATAACAGGTAAAGTAGAGTTAGGCCCTAAGAAAGTGTACCTGAGGTGACCAGGAAGCGGTTTCGGGTCCAACTGTGGTGGCTCCTCTATTGATGGCTTTGCATGTGGTGTTGCCCTTTTATTCTAAGTGTAGTGGCTCGAACTGGGGTTCTCTTTGCCAGAACCCTTGACCTTCGAGAGCCATGACCCACTCTGCCAACTCTTCACCATCCACATCTTCCAAATTCATCAAGCACGCTTTTAATGGATCTCTGACATTAAGGGTCTCATCCTCCTCTTGTAGTATTACATCCACTGCCTCCACTAATGAACAATTTGCAAATTTTCTGGGCCTCCTCATAGATTGTTGAACATTGAATATTATTTCCTCATTATTCAACCTCATTTTTAACTCTCCAGTCTCACAGTGGATCAATACTCTCCCAGTGGCTAAGAACGGCCTCCCTAAAATTATTGGTATTTCTTCGTCAACTTGACAGTCAAGAATAACGAAGTCGGCAGGAAATACAAACTTCCCCACCTAGACAAGCACATCATCCAAATTTATGTCGTCCTTTTGACTGTGCGATCAGCCAGTTGCAACAACATTGAGGTCGGTCTAGCTCTGCCAATACCTAATTTTGTGTAGATTGCCAAAGGCATCAAGTTGATACTGGCTCCTAAGTCACACAATGCTTTAGCAAAAGCATAACTTCCAATTGTGCATGGGATAGTGAAACTACCAGGATCAGACAATTTTTGAGTCATGGGTCTTGTCACTACAGCGCTGCAAGTTTGAGTTAGAGTTACAGTAGACAGGTCTTGGAAGTCAAATTTTCGAGACATCAGATCCTTCATCATTTTTGCATAGCCTGGCATTTCCCTCAAAGCATTTATCAGCGGAATATTCAATTGAATTTGTCTAAGCATTTCCATGAATTTCCTGTATTGATCATCTCTCTTTTGCTTTGCCAACCTTTGAGGGAATGGTGCAGGAGTTAACTTCTGCCCACTGCTTGGTGTCTTTTCTTTATTAGGAGCCTTTTCCACCACCTATTCTGGAGTTGTTCAAATTCCTTCTCCTTGCCTTTGTCTACTTGTGCCTGTTCAATTACAACTTTTGTGAGCTCATTTGACTCGTCGGTATCTAATGTCACTGGAGTAATTGGCACTGCATCTCTCCTAGATTGAGAAACTTCTTGCTCTCTATCTAAATCCCTTCCATTCCTGAGACTCACTGCCATTAGCTGATTTGGGTTCTGCTCCTTTGGATTGATGTTTGTGTCTGCATGCAACGTTCCTTGTGGGCGATTGTTCAAGGCCATAGATAACTGGCCTAATTGAGTTTCGATGCCTTAAATAGCCGAATTATATGATGCTAACTTTTCTTGCATCTTTCCATTTGTCCTAATGAGTTGTTGCAGCATGCCCTTTATTTCTATCATATTACTGTCCTGCTGTTGATGAGGCGGTTGGTAAGCCAACTGTTGTTGGTATTGCTGATTGTAGCCATGCTG